ATTTTATTTCTAATGAACGCCAAACAACACCAAAACATGTCAAGGTGCGATTTTGCATTTTATTCTGCGAAAGCCGGTACCAAATGCGAATCGTTGACGGTCGACGACCTTGAAATGCCGCTCACTTCCCGTAAACATCGCAACTTCGAAACCGTATGGTTTCGGCGAAAATTTATTTCTGGTGTCCTTTTAATGACTGGCATGCTCGGCCTGAACCTTTCATGCTAGGGTTGTTGTGGAAACAACCACTGAAATGCATAATGTTTAGTAACGCCAATAACCGGGTAAAAAAGCATATGCACAGCACGTCTTTTATGAAGCGGTAGCGTTCTGGAAATTCCAATGGCCTCCGGATGCGTCGCTGGCAAACGACATCCGGCGTATACTAGTTGTGTTTGGCTATTGGTCCAGGCATTCGTCTCATCAGAGGCCGCCTTGACGCTGGGTTGGCAATCGGCTCGTCTTATGGCCAATCGCGTGCGAGACAGATTTCTTGGCTGTAGCAGCACCTGACTACGAGCGGTTGCACGGCGTGGAAGCACCAGAGGAGAGTGACTCTCCGAAGGCAGGTGTTCACGGCAATTTCCATGGATGGAAAACAAAAAGACAGCAAGGCTGTGCATTTCCAATGCGTATACATAAATCAAACTGTATCGGCGCTGAATTCTGCCTAACAGAGGCCAGCACCCACGAAACAGTCGTGGATCCAATTAGACCATACGACTATCAGTTACTGATGGAGGACCTCACTTAAAGAGTATCTATCCTTCTGGTGTACAAAACTTCAATCTATTCATGGTTTAGCGAGGGCCCGGTTGTCACTTCGCTTTTGGTCAGCGTTATGCATGCCGAAGTGCGCCCTAGCAACACAGGCAGTCCAAAATAACCGAGTTTTCCGGTTATACGATGGTTATATAACCGTCAAATAACCACCTTTTCTAACAAGAAGTGGTTATTTGCACCAATATAACCGTCAAATAACCGTGTTTTCCGGGTACCGGACGGTTAAATAACCATCGCTGTCATTAGACCTATCGTACCGCGTTTCTACAGCTTAACACCGCATACGTAACCACGTAATAACCGCATTGTAGGGTTACAGAGACGCTGAATAACGGCGCCCTAGCGTAGTTCTCCCTAGATGGACTATCTGATGGCTTCTTGACCACTTATTGATCGAGTTCTACGGTTAAATAATCATGAACGGTTTGCGGTTAAGAGCCGCAACATAACTGTCACGTTGCGACCTACACTGATAACCACACATTTAAGCGTGCATATCGTCTGCACGTTGCAGAAAATAAGGCCTAGTATTGGAATCTTTACACGTCGCTGTACATCAAACTTTTGGCCACTTATGGAAATGATTAACTAACCGCATTGATACGGTGTTATCATTGACCGTTTACGCAGAGCACTTAGAGAACGCAAAACAAAGGTAAAATACATAAGATGTACAAAAATAAATTGTTCCACAATTAAACCGTGTCAGTCCGAAGGCAAGTCCACTGTGATAATCTCGGCTTCTTCGTCCATTGCAGACGTCTGAAACCCGAATACAGGCCACATAAACGGTTGGAGACACCGACGGACATGGCCCAGTCGAGCCCTCAATAGCGCTCTTGCATTCAAGCTATTACTTTCAACCCACAGCTCTCTCTCTTCCATGTTTCCACTTAAAAATCCACTGACAACCCTGTATTTACGCACCAACTTACCAGCTCCCGCCTCCAGTGCACAGCCACCCACTCTTCCTTCCCAAATCACTGGTGAACGAAACTTTGGGAGCTATAACCACTACGACCGGTACACGGTTCTCATAGCAGATCATGCTATTGACGTTAGTTTTTCTGTCAAGGGATGAGTTTACGCTGCGGCAGGCGTAGATATGTGACGTGGCCTCCACCTACAGAGGATATACGAAAGACGCCCGTGTTTGACAGTCGGTGTCTCCGGAACATTGGTCGTGTCTGCTCGAATTAGTAATTTTGAGCTACACCAGATGGTCCTAGGAAAAAGCAGCTCTTTAGCGATAAATGAGTTACGCTTCATGCGTTACGCTTGTTAGAATATGTACTCTGCATGCCAGAAGACAGTTCGCTCCGCAGAGCTCTTTCCGCCCTGAGTGAAGTGAGTGTTGAGTAGAAACGACCGAGAGGTGCACAGTGTTTGGCCTTACAGCAAATTATGAAACCTAACCAGTAAACTGAGTCGGGTCGACATCTGCTGCCTCCCTGGATGGGGACCTTGGGCCTCAACTGTGACGCCGTCAGAATTGGCCTAATCGCACAGTGAGTGGCGGTCGTGCATTAAAGCTATCCATTTCAATGAGTAGCTACCCGATTCCCGAACTAACTGAACATGCCACCGCCTCCAAGGCTTGCTTTATATCACACTCCCACTTTCCGGTGATTGAAACTGTAACAGCCGGCACCAATGTGTTGATTCATTGATTGGTTTCGAAGAGGAGATGCAGACGTTTTTGGATGAACCAGCCAACGTCATCCCGTCCTTTTGGCCTGCACATTGCACCCACGAAGTGTATGGACATGTTTCTTGAAATGTAATCACGGAACATGTCACTTACAATCTAGGTAGATGCACTCGAATTTGTGAGTCGTTTTACGTACTTTGTATTTTTTATTAGGTCTGACTGTAGTGTGGTAGATGAGGTCGATTCACGAATCTCTAAGACCGGCGTCACGTTCGCTGATTTTAGATACTTATGGTAGCGAAGCGGCATATTCTTGAATCTCAAGGAACGTGCGTATCAAGCTACAGTACGGCCTGTTCTGTTGTACGGCTGAGATGTGTCCTTTTCGTGCAGCGCGACCGACACAAATTCAGGTCTTCGACCACTGTTGTCTCGTGTGGGTTGGTGTCGGCGAATTTGTAATGGAGCAACTAGAAAGCTAGTATTCAGTTGCGCAGCGCGGACTTCCATCGGAGAATTCCTTTAGAACCAGAAGCTTCGTTGGTTTGGCCATGTATTTCGCATGCTAGGTCATCGTTTGCCGAAGGAGATGTTGCTTTCTGTGACCAATCCAGAAGTGGCCGACCGTTGACCAGGCCTAGGGTATGGCACGAGGGTTGGACGGCTCGGTGGTTAGAGCGCGAATTTACTGACCGGACGGTCCGTGGTTTGAACCGGACCTCTGCAATCTGGCAGTATCATAGACCTCGTATTTCCTTCTGGTGGCATGGTAGTTAGGCCCGAAAAGGGTGCTACAGCTGAACGGGGCATGAAAGAGAAGGTGAAAAATTTTGGTGCTGTAGGTGCTACTCGACTCCCAGGATGAGGACCGTGTGATCCCCATTGCGCATGGTTGGAGACGCTGCAGGATGTCAATAGCGTTCTTGTCAGTTTCTATCCAGGTTGTCTGAATGAATATCTGGAGATGAGGCACCTGAGAATGGTTGTGGCAAGCTGGCACCAAGTCCCAGTCCTCGTCCACTTTTATTCTTTTGTTCATAATAAGGCTTTCAAATAAATTAGGGTTGTATGCCAGCAAAGAATCAGCGTTGAACATTGTTATGCTATCAACGATGGTGACGAGCTTTACTGGGGAGTGTACGCGTGATACTCACAGTCTCATACCAGTTTGGTCAATGGGAGAGGCCTGACTAACGTAATCGCCTAGTCATCCCAGCTAAGGTTCTGGACATGTGTGGCAACGTGCTCCTAGAAATGTAGGCTGCTCTGACGGTTTTACGCAAATACCGCTACCTCGCGGTTAGTCTTTCGAGCCAAAGGCTTTGGTTGAGGACCCTAAACGTCCTGTCCGGCACATGTGTAACTATAAATGACTTCATGGACTTCCTCAGCCAATGCCCATCTAGCCCATTTGCGTCATTGTGAGAGAAGGAGACCAGCCCAAGCTACTAATGCGCGTCGATAATGGTGCCCATCCTCAGAAAGGGTGTTCGCAGTTAATGCAGTAACCGTAGGGTTGCCAGTTTGGCACTCGTTGTAACAGGGCGTCTCTGGTTTTTCGCTATCTTCTTGTGGTAGATGGAATCTTGACTCATGAACATCCATTGGGATATCAATTCGGCGGAACCTGCGTCAGGTATTAGAGCAATGCCATCTATACAAACGACCCACAATCTTGGTGTTCCTTAACTTCAAGGATGCGTTCAGTCCCGTCGATTGGTCATTGCTCCGGAAATTTGCGGACTTAATCCGGTCCTTACATTCACATACTCGTGGGCATGTGAGATTGCATTGTGAACTTTCCAAAGCTTCCCCGCGAACGATAGTGTCCGAAAATCTTGGTGTCCTTAACTTCAAGGATGCGTTCAGTCCCGTCGATTGGTCATTGCTCCGGAAATTTGCGGACTTAATCCGGTCCTTACATTCACATACTCGTGGGCATGTGAGATTGCATTGTGAACTTTCCAAAGCTTCCCCGCGAACGATAGTGTCCGAAAAGGATGTGTACCGCGTCAGTTTTCGTTTCACTTCGTCATCGATGAAATGAGGCAAACACCGAAAGGGTATTCGGATCATTGCTTGTGAGAACGTTAACGTCGCGGTGTACGCAGACGACGTCGTCTTCACCTTTGAAGACGAAGACCAGGCCCAAACTCTGTTGAACGAACTGATCACCGTCACACCCTATTTCGGAGTGCGTCTTGCACCTTTTGAATTGGGAAGACTTGCTTCAGAGTGTGCAGTCTTTGAACAATCCCATTTCGATTCAAGGAGGAACACCAGAGGTTATGGAAAACTTCATATGCCTCGGTAGTTCTATCATCTCTGACTGAAGTATGTCTGGTCAAGTCAGTGCACAAATCCCAAAGACCCGAATCGCGGTTGCTAATTCGCATCTCTTTTGGCGTCAAAAAGGCATATCACAGGGTCTCAAGGGTCGCTCGTACCAGGCTACAGTAAATTCTATATTATTGTATGTTTGCTGTACATGGCCTCTACAGACAGATGATCTGAGACGTTTCCAGATTTTTAACTACTGATATTTCGGAACCGTCGTTTGCGTCGGATGGCGTCAACGAATTCGCAACGAGGAAAATCTTCAGCGCCACCAGCTGTGGTGGCTGGCCCCAATTCAGCTCCACTGAGAATGATCTAACTTGCTACTCAAAATGCTTTCCTCACTCTTATTTAGCAACGCGGAATACCTGATATCCCCATTGTTTCTCATGAAGATGGACCTTTTGTCCAATGTCTTCGTGTATTATCTGGAGCTTATATACATTTTTGAGTGGTGACTAAGCACCAACATCTATCATTGATGTACTGTTGCTCATGATGATAACGCATAAGCTTCGACTTGCCTCCGCCTTGTTTTTCACCTCTTCCGCTTAGATGTGTTCTACTTCGGACGATTGTTCGTGCTCTATAGCAAGAAACAGATTGGCGATACAGGGTCGCCGGAAGAAACAATGTGCCAAGTGCAAAGGTTCCAACGGGCCACCTGTACTGGTCATTCGAAGTGATGACCCAGCACTTTGTCGGTTAGTTTCCGGTATTGTACGCCCGAGGTTATTTCCAGATCATGCTTCCTTAACGGATGTGCACATAAATTCAAGTCAGCTTTCGGAAAGAGCCATGTGGTGCGGAATGATTGTATGGTAGCGGTCGCAATTTCTGGTGGCTTATCCTCGCTGACGCTGCTACACCTATTGAAACAAGTGATTTCTGTTGATCGTCGTCATTTACTAACAGCCGTGATTTTACGATTGTAGCATCGGAAGCGCCGGTTTACACCAAAGCTCTTTTACCTTATCGGTAGAATATATTAGTTTTTAATGCTCTTTCTCTTTACCAGAACCACATTCGTCTTCAGAAGAATGTGACGCCATTGCAGCTGTTGTTCAGGACTCGGGTTTTGAATTCCATCTACTGAATCCAATAGAAGTTGGACCTGTTCAGTTTTCTAATATGGTCCTAGGTTCATTTGGCCCTAGGTCGGTTGCGCGAGGCACTCCACACATCGCCATCCTTATCTGTTTTGAGAAATATTCCCGAATTAGACATCTGGATCCGACAACTCTTATTTGTAGAATGTGCCAAACGGCTTGGTTGCGATTTCCTTTGTCTGGGTGATACTGGGACCAGATTGGCTACCAAATTCCTTGTGTCTGTCATCGAAGGCCGAGGCGATCAGGTCTGCGGAGGCACGGTAGGTTTTGCGCCTTTATCCGAAGTTTTTGCTTGTTCGATTTAACGGTATGGTTTGGACATCCGGGAAACACGTTTCCCTGCTAAAATGGAAAACGAATAACAAACCATGGCTTTGTATTGTCTCCATATCCGTTTGGAAGGCAAAGTGAAGCTACATTCATCTCGATTCACCTCAAGTGACTAAACAACAATCCACTTGGCCCCGACTACCACTCCAACGTTTCCATCCAACAGTCTAATAGCCAATCAGCTATACACTGGCACATTTATGATACAATCCTATCTGCCACAGGGGGTCATTCTTTATATACCGTTGACGGTATTAATATATTTAATGTTGCTTTTCTTTGTTCATTCTCAAGTCATTTTCAGATGAGCGATACCAGGATGTCACAATCATCAGACCACTGTACGAATTCCAGACGAAAGAACTTGTATTCTATGCACGGTTTTGTCGATTAGAGCCACTAATTTCTTACAATGTGGTTACCGACGCTGTTCTGGAGCGACCTGGTGTAACTAGCCTGCCAAGGCTGTGTGAAGATTTTCTTCTCGGCTTGCAGTTTGGTGGATTCCCGTCAACAACCCAGACGGTCCTGAGGTTCGTTGACCTTGCCTAACTTCGCTTTCCTATGACCAGAAAGTTTGACTTTTCGGGCATGTTTGGTAAGCGCTCGAGATGGCTTAGTGATGAAGACCTGAAGCTACTGACAGGAAGGTCTGTTGTTCGAAAAAAACCCTGACATTTCGGTCGCTCTTGTTTGGGTTTGGGAAACCCGACAGGTGCCTTTTTGGAAAGCTATGTACAGGACAGGTGTCACAGCTGGTTATTCTCATTTAGACGTTTAATAATGGAAAACCCTTTCAAACCCTTGTCAGGGTTCGATGTTACCAGTTGCACAGACAACAGCCTCTCCAAACTGAGAAAACTTTTTTTGGCCAGCATAACCTCGTCTATAACAAAATTAAGAGATTCTAGCACCATGGCACATTTTAGAGTTGTTCAGGACATTCCCTACGGAAACGAATTGCAACTTACTATGCTTAATGTGTGATTTGAGACAGAAACAGTTACTGCATTGGGTGGGTTCACTTTTACTAAGGAACCACTACTTCCAGAGCGCGCAATGGTGTTCCCATTTTATCCCACTTTCCAGCTGAAGTTTTCGCTATCGAATTGTTTCCTATCTTATGTTACAGTCACTGTGGTACGCTTTCTAATCCGATGTACCGATGGCTTCCTTTTGCTCAATCACTTTAGCTCCCCCTGAGTATAAAGTGAGCATAGGCCCAGGTATCCTGTTTACCAATATGTAACCGAAAAAAGATATTGAATTTTCGGACGCCTACATATGGGCAGGAGTAGCCTGTAATGAACACAATACGCCAACCTCCTTGGTGGTCTGGTAACTGTTTCCGGGTTTTCTATTCGCCAATAAACCTCAGCACCAAACAGGCAGTGACACTTTTTCGAAAACGAGTGACACATTCTGTCTGAACTTCCCAAGTAAACTACCTGATGTGCAAACTAATAGGTAGGCGAAGTAGAAAGTCTCAGGAGCGAATTAAGGAAAGCGCGAAAAATCTGGGTGTATTCAATGCTTCTCGTCTTGAAAAATGTAGCCTCTGCAGAACTCTTTGGGTTCTCCTTGGGAAGTTGCTGGATGTGAGCGCTAGTCGATGCCCACAGCGCTCGTGCCGTCAGTTTCTTTCCAGATTTTGTGGGTGAATGTTTTCAGATTGAGGCACCTCCGGTTTTTGTGCTAAGCTATTGACAGGTCCTTTCGTTCTTCGCCTCATTATGGTGCATTGCAGTTAAGCGCCAGTGTTTTCACACTGGTGTTGGTTTCAGTAATGAAGGTTGCCGCCATGCCTGTGAGCAGCGACTGAGCCACTCAAATAGGTTATTTTGACTGCTAGTCCAGACATACTGACAGTCGGGGGTATGACTAACATGTTGGATGTTGGATTCATGTGAAAAGAGATTGCCGCTTCAGAAGAGAGACGTGAAATCTTTCAGAACACTAAATGCAGACACGAAAATGTCGGACTTAAAATAAACTCTACTTCAATACATAGTCGAAGACGAACGTAAAATTCTTGCACATTGGCTATATTGTTTAGATACTGTGTATGACATCCACTAGCTGGAGCCCACACTAAAGATCCACACCCCATATGAATACCACCGAGTTCGCTAGTTTTTTGGAAGTTATGGTAGAACGGGACTCGGTTTGGACTTAAGAGCACCTCACTTGGTTGTACACATCGGATAATTTTCTTAACCACTGCCTTACCCCTCTTCACTTTAGCACTTGTTCGAAAATCGCATCTTCTGAGTCCAATGCTTCAGTACTTAAACGGTGCTGTCTTTGTTGGGTGAGTTTGTTGACCATTACACTGCTTTCTGATGTATAAACATTACTACTACTAAGAAGTAAATTGATGCAGTTCAAACCTATGACAGCGACAGAGTGGGAGGAGTGACCAACAGAAATCACTTTTCGCGCTTACAAACGGCTTCCGAAAGCCCAGTTTTCAAGAGTTTGATAGAGATAGTGAATGTTTTAGACATTCAATACCCCAACGTATCTCTACCCGAGAAACACATGTGTAACAGCCTGACGAACTACATGAGTCATTACGAATGAATAAAAATTGTTACCTGAATTTAAGGAAGCTCAGGGTGCATTGCTGGTTATCCAGAGCTACGTATTTCGAACTTTTCTCTCACTTTTCGTTCTTTCCAGTGTTGGGAAATCCATCTTCGTGCCTCATTCGGGTTGCGCAGCATCTGTGCATCAACTAGATGCCCACAGCCTAGCAACTTGATTTCTTTGTCTTGAGGCCGCAGGTGAGGTCAAACAGAGATGTATCCGACTTATCACTCGTCTGCATACCAATTTGATTTTGATGGGAGAGCCACCTGGCTGCGGAACGCTATCCAGCTTCTGAGTAGACTACGGTAGTTTCGAATACCATAAAGATTCATGAGGTATGAAGTGCTGATAAATCCTCAAAAAGATGAAGCACCCGGACAACGCTTCTCAGCTGTACGCGCTAGACTGACTTGCATGATGGAAATGTCATTGATATTCTGCCAGTTCCGTTTCATCAACGCTACCACCTGTTGCATGGGTTCCTGGTTAGACATACATTTCCACGTGAAAAGCAAACTTCTTTTCGACATTTGTGATCGCAAAAAAAGAAATCTGATCGCAACCTAAATCATGGTCTACTACTTTAGCGGTGCTGTCAACGGTGCAATCAGCGCCTGGCCGTCGTTGCGTTGCCAGATGAAGGACGAGCTAGTTACTGTCACTGACAGCGATGTATCAGTATAAATAAAACCGGACACTCTAATTTCATATAAGCGTGCGGAAGAGTGCAAACAAATGAGAAGAATGGGGAATTAGTAAGAATGGTCTTATGTCCCAATGGAAAACGTTCCAAAAAAACAAGCTGCATTTTCTTTGGAACAGCAGTGAGACAAGCCCCTCGGAGGATCATATCAATTTAAGTTGCTATCAGTGGGAATGACCCAACTTTCTTTACGAACGTTACTTGAGATGAGACCACCACATTAATACAGACAAACTTTGACCAGACAGCCCTGCTAGGAAGTGAAAGTATACTCGCTGTTGGGACCGCTTGTGTTCTGTAGAATTTCCGACTACGCCCAAGCCCCGTGACGTGGATGTATGTAGATCTCGCAGCACCCAAAATGAGAGTAGCCGCTTTTGTTCCGCGTTACCAAGTCATACTGTCTCCTTTGCGGGTCTTTGTCCACATGAATTTGGACTAGAAAACAGTACGTTCTTTGGTAGGCGGCGCGTAGTATATTTACTTTATTTGTTGCTCTAATGGTTTTTAGTCTACTACCAAGCGTTCGGTTGCGCACCACTAATCTAGGAACATGCAGTCCAGTAGGTAAAACTGGTCACATTCCATTACTTGGCTTGTTCTCTTGAATGGCAAGATAGCTTCTTCTCCGAAACACTTTCAGCCCAGCTTCATACTGAATGTAATCTTTGTGGGAGTGCGCATTGAGTCCTGGATCTTGATCGAGGTTGTACGCGCAATCTGCGAATCCCTAGAGATTGTTCAGCGAAATGTGCAGCCTACAATTCTCTGAGGGTGTCTGACTGGATATGCGCTGATCACCTAGTCCCAATTGGTAAAACCAGGTTCTGCAGTGAAATGCGTTGCAAATTAGTTATTCCATGAGTTGTTTGTATGTGAGTCTCCTTGAAAGTTCATTGAATTACCTAGACAGAACATAGAAAGCGAAAGAAAGAAAGCGTTCAACTGTAGCACCCTTCTGGTGCCTAGCTGCCGTGCCACCCGAGGAAAGCACGAGGGCTAGGATACTGCCAGGTTGCCCAAGCCTAGACAGGGGAAGTCGAGTGGCGGAGGTCGGATTCGAACCACGAACCTTCCGGTCAGTAAATTCGCGCTCTAACCACTTGGGCTATCTCGCATAGAACATAGAGGCTCCACCGACTCCGTTGTAGCGCCAGGCGTTTGCTCTCCCTTCGCTTTACTGGAACAAATAGAGAAATTACTGAGCTGGGTTTCTTTGACGTATGTTAGATGAGTACTTTTGGGATGTTTCAAGGGAGCCCGGACCTGGTAACACCAGACCATACGCCACTTGACCTTTCGTTGCCTGACTACTTGACTTCCGTTTCAGTGGGTGGCTACGTACGACTTCTGATATGCCTTTTTCAAATATCGGTGCAATACGAAAACCAATGTTTTTATGTGCTTTAGTGGTTCCAAACGCCACAGATGTTCGGCTGGTCTTTTGGCCAGCCAACACTAGATAATCGCCAAGTGTATTCCAACAATTATTGACTGGAATGGTTGTCCTATATGTTTTTCATGAATATGTAGTCCTTCTTTCTGATGTACATTACTTTGATTGTAACGGAAGCTATCTAGGAAAAGTGGCCTTCAAATTTATTTTCTTATCCACACATCCAGGGTACATATGTCCCTTACATCCGCACCGAAAATCCACACAAATTGGCGTTGGCAGCCATGGAGTACTCTCGTTCCGCGTCAAATTTCAAGCCAGATCAGGCGCTTCCTCACTCGAATGAAGTGAAGTTTGAGGAAGACGGACAGTCCAGTACAAACATTGATGGCCAACTGTGCCCTAGTTGTTCAATGCTTTATGCAGAATTGGTGAGTTCCTTTTGGGTCAACTCAGCCGTTTCTGCCCCACCTGAAACCTGTACCCTGTTAGTCTAGACCTTAGTTATTACTGTGTTTGAAAAAAAAACGATCTGCTAGGATCCTGTTCACTGTCCATCTCGCCGGAAGGTGTTACCTTCCATGTTTCTTGTAGCTCATGAGTTTTCGATGTCCGGCAAACGTTTGCTTCTTTTGGGCTTCTACGGACAATACCTTAGTTCAGCTTACCAAGATGCTATTACAATTCTTCGTGCTCCTCATTTAGTCTTGGGCATGGAAAGTGATAGCGTTCACCAATTCAGCGTGGGTACTGGTAGCAGAAGGTCGCTTCGAAGGACCTATTGCGTTGCTTAGGGACGATTTCGTGACTTGCGTCCTAACAGGGCCAGAGTGGGTACATGGCCACTCAAAAACCGTACACTCAGAGTCACATTTTTGCATAAATAGCAATAATAATCGTACTAGTACTAATGATAACCGCCTCGTGAATCTGAGAACTCTTCACCAATATGGGCTAGATTTGTCGTCAGTGTGCGCCACGCATGGACTGTGTTCTGTTGTGGTTGTAAGATACGGCCCTTGCATGTGGAGGATCTCTACCGTCATCGCATCTTTGACTGTTGATGCGTCCAAACCAAATCTGACATGGACTGGCACCAACGGACGCGCTGGTCACTAGAGAAATGCGTCTAGCAACACTAGCTGCACTGGCTCATGTGTTACGCATGTCGAACTATCGTCCGCTGATAGGAGTGTTGTGTTCGACGCCAAGTGCGCAGTGGCGCAAAGTAGGTCTGAATTCTGTCAAGGGAACAAAAGAGGCTACACAAGTTCTGGGCCGTGTTCTTGCAGTCCGTCTTCCAGGATGGAGCTTCATGTGACCCTCCGTGGATTTGGTTGGCTGTCATGGAATATACAACTTCCAAGTGTGACCAATAGCATTCTATCTAGACTGTCCAAGTCTGAATTACCGGTACTTCGAATGTTTGGGATAAACTAGTGGCGAATCGATTCCCTCGCTCGCTTTTCTAACAATATGGCTTCCTTTGAATAAACCGAAATGGTTGGCAATGAAACATCGGCGTAGGACACAAGTTTCTCCCTGAATGTGATGATTATTAGTAACAAAATTATGAATGATGACAATGCTTAGTGATAATCATAATGGCGGTTCGATTTCCAACAGCTTAAAGAGGGTTAATATGTTTGAGACTGTAGCCAATCGAGAGAATGATAAGGACTGTTCTCTGCCATATAAATTATACACTTCCTCGGTATTAATTTTGGCTTTATGTATGACTGTGTACCTCGGACCGCAATGGTTCACCACTGTGACGCCTAACCGCACAGCCAACCTGTGCCCTGAGGTCGATCCACGCGTTCTAACAGGTATGACCAACCAGAGGAGTACATTGAGTCCGATTCATCAAAATTAAATGGGTCGCCTTAAATAGCTCACATTGTTACTCGTTGCTTACGGTAGTTCTTGCTGCCATCCGTTGCCCTGAGTTTACCGATATCAGTGTCCATATCGTTTACGTACATTCGTAATTCATACATAGTCATGTGTCGTTTTTTTTGCGCATGGCAGTTTATGGTGTCCACTCATCATCCATCTGAAGAATAGTTCGGGCGTAACTGGAAAATGACTAACATCTAGCATAACTGTTTTGCAGGGTACTGGTGTCACATTGACAAAGAATACTAGAAATACAGAACACCAGCAAATCTTCCCCTGATACGATACAACCTGTGAGGTTGACTGAAGCTTCTCGACAGTCCACTACCGGTTCTTTGTCTTAGGTCGACACTTTGGATTCCGGTCCAACTGAAACATGAAGCGGTCTTTGTGTGGCACATTCACTTGAAGGATAGCTCAAGCAAAAGCGCAAAGAAGTCTTATTCAGGTCTGCTTGTACAATAGCTTTAGTTTACAGATGATTAGTTAAATTAGCTGATCAGCTATTCCTGAGTCCACGAACGCACATCGAGGGGGGGGGTCCATTTTGTTTACCTACTTCCTATGCTTCACCTCGAATGCTTATGCGACATGACCATTGTACAGCCGGGCCAAATTCACAACAAATTTAGTTGAACTCGCGAAGCGGAGTGTTTAGCGTTTCTACGTTCTACATTCTCTTTATTTTTTCAGCCAAACGAACTGAGGGAACTGTTTGATGCTGCGTTTTCTTCCGATCCAGATGGNCCAGATGGAACACATAATAACTCATCGTTACCCGAACCATATATAACTGTGATGATGGACACAATCAGAGAAAGCGCGCAGCATTGCTTTTAACCCTGTACAAAAGACTAATCAACACACAAGGCTGTTTTTTCCACTACTGTCGAACACACTGTTCAGTGTGTAACACTCAGTCATGTCATCTCTAGTTCGAGCCGGTTAACGTCATTTGATGGCATTCACACGTGAAGGCCGAAATAGTGATGGAAACTTAAAATCCAAAGGTAGGGTATTGGGGGGGGGAATGGACGTTATCTTATGGAATGCGGAAAACAGTGCTTTTCAGAGGTCTCGTGCACGAAGACTTTATCTATGGTGCAGAACCACCGAAGCTTCGCATAGCTTAGTAAGTGGGGTGGTCGGATTCACCGCGAAATCTGGAGACTGTTTTCATCTGGATGCATTGACCAGTGTAGCGAAAGTCGAGTGATCGGCCGATGGAGATGGTTCGTGACTGCATTTCATGGATCGAACCTCATCTATAACTCATACATTCAAATGTATCCGTTGAAGTAGATTGGAAATTTATGGAATGGCCCATTAGTTTAACCGCGCAAACTATTGGTCGTCTTTACGGCAAGACCACAGTTAACATTTATATCAGTAGTGAAGTCCTCGTCAAGGAAAGTCAATTCAGCTCGAAGACATATGGACTACTGTTTTTTTCACTTTTGTGTTTGTGCTATACTTTATGGCCAAACTTTGGTAAATACTTCAAATTATATAATGAATAGTCCCTATCGTTTCAACCCCGGGTTCCATTCTGAATGTTTTATATTACGCTGTACGGTAAGGATGGGAAACATTATGCGACCACCTCTGATTGCTGTGCGACAGAAAACACTTGACGAAATTCGAACCAGAACTTTCCGGATCATGGTTATCGATGAACATAAACTAGTTGTAAATGCTGGCGACTGATCACCTCGTTTCCGTGAGGAAAACGTTTCTCCGGATGCAAGTTGAACACTGCGTCTGAAGAACTGTCCGGTCACATTGCGATTGAGGTGGATTCTCTTAAGAGATAACACAGGATTTAAAATCAGCGTCTGAGGTCGTCAGTGAATTGCTCAAAAATCGTGGGTGATCTCGGGTTCAACAGTGTTCACTGAGTTTGCCAATGCGAGTCTAGTGCAACTCAAACCTAGGTTTCGGTTGTTTGATCTCGCTTTCTGGAGATTCTTCATCGGAATTCCCAAACTCACCTAATTCCAATGTAAAGTCAGTATCGACTGGTGATGGTCATCCAAGGACGACCGTGGGGTGGTTGCGATTCGAGAACCAGTTTCCGTCTTGGGTTGGCGTGTCTCCATGGTGACACTGCGCGACACACGCTTTGCTCAACTATAGAAAAATTCTGCCTTACTTTGGCCGAAAATACAGGCATATAGAACCTACCGTAACTTGAAAGAGTACTTATTCGTTGAGTGAACACACTACTCGTAAGTTTGCTGAAAACTTCTCGCCCTACTCCTATTCCGTCTTCGAAGACTTGGCCACGAACGGCTTGGCAGCATAGCTTACTGCACGGCGTCCACAATAGAACTGTGCGTTGATCAGTGTTTGGTTACGAATCAGAATCGCTAAACTGGTGAAGCTCATCAGATCAAGGTTGTCAGAACATGTATTGCATATATACAGCCAACGTCTACACTTGGTGGCGAATATTTCGCCGAAAGCGGATTATGGCATGGTCACGCAAAGTAGCAGCGGCCTCGGTCGAACGTGATGCCATGGGGATTTTACGCCTTCCAGGCTGGTGGTTGGAATTACGACAGGACGTGGCATCTAGTTGATCCCAAGGTATGACTTTCTAGACGGATTGTGAGGCTACCCTTTGCTACAGAGCTCTGGAATTTTACGAGCTAAGGTGTGCCAGGAATGCTGAATCCATCTTGCTGATGGCGTCTTACTCCGACATGGTGCTGTGGATTTGGTCTTGGAACCTTATTCTTGATCCTTTTCTTGCTTGAGCAACTTGGCGGTGTCTCGGCCCTCGTGCTTGCTTTCTGTGGCGGGACAGCTAGGCATGAATAGGGTGCTGCAGCTGGACCATTATTCCATTTTTAACGGTACACATATAGCAAGTACTCATGAAGAATCAAGTATTTGTGATGTTTTTGAAGTGGCATTCAAATACGTCCATTTACTCCCCAACAATCTCTGTAGAGCTTCTTGCTTATGCTACAGACCGCTGAACAAGTACGACGTCAAGTTGTTCCGGATAGGATTCAAAAGTCTTAATGTGAGCACGCACTCTTGTAGTCACCGCTGAGACAGCTTGACTGTTTGGTCGCACTGAAGAAAACGACATTGGGAGGTAGTGGTTCCCAGGAACAGTTACAGGAATTGGTGGTTGGCAGTAGTTCGAACTTAGGGGGTCGCGATTGTTATCCTCAGTGAGCGCCTACTTTGTGGTTGCCGTCGCTTAACATCGGATCGGCCATGATAGAGGTCCGATGGTCATGAAAAATGCTTAAGCTTTCAGAGTTGATAGCTAATATAAGCATCCCGTACCACTCGCGAATATACGAGCTGTTAGTATCAACGTCCCTCGCAAACTAAGGTCAGACAGGCAGTCCGTCCTATTTCTGTGCTGAAATAAAAATGATCGTTGAAATACGGTGGAGTATACCGAGTTGTGGTTTTCTTAACCCAGGGCACCTAAAAAAGGGACACCTCTGCATCTCCAGTGAGGTGGCGATTTTGGAGGCGCAGGATTCCCATCACGACCTCGTGTAAACTACTATCCCAGAACCAAAGATAAAACACTATTGTCGTTTGACAGGGTGATTTGCTCTCCAAACGAAGACATTGTGGTAAGAAAGCCCTGCAACATCGAACAGCATTTTCCAGTTGAATAACATGGCGAAGAGTTTATGTTATAAAAGCAGCCGGTAACACTATAGCGGTGGCCTCTTCTGAACAATACTTGATTTGACTTAGCAGATACTCCACTCTCGGATGCGCGAACCGAACCGTTCGTTGAAATATTGATTGGAGGGAAGACACCTGAAGAATGGGATGAAGCAACTCACTGTAACGCAATGTTTCCCGAGTTTCTGGTAGTTGCCGTGTCTGATTGTTTAAGTCCAGCTGGACGAGAGAACCATACGTTTTTGGTGACCTAGAGACCGGTCTAACGAATGTTAAATAGGCTCAGAGTGATTTACTGGTATGACCAAATCATTGATATGCAGGACTACTGCCAATCTAGAGCACACCCGTAATGAGGCATCTAGGAAGTGCGTTTTCGGTTGTGCAACGGGTACTTCCATTGAAGAATGTGTTCAGCACGAGAAGCTGCGTTGGTTGGGACATGTGTTGTGTATGCCGAACCATCGTCCACCGAAGAGTGCTGTTTTCCATACCCAATTCAGAGAGTCGTACGCAGAGAGGTGGCCAACCCTTGCCTTGGCAGAGGAGTATGAAGGAGATCACGAAACACTTGGGTGCTACTCGCCTTTCGGGATAGGGACCGCGCGATCCTCACTGCGCCTGGTTGGAGATACTACAAGATATGGCTGCCAACCGACGCCAGTGGCGTTCTTGTCAGTTTCTATCCAGATTGCCTCAGTGAATGGTTGGAGGTGTAGGCACCTCGGAATGATTGTGATAAGCTAGCATCAAGTCCCTTCCTCATCCACCTTTATTCTTTTTTACAATAAGACTCAAATAAATCATGGTTGTACTGCAATGAGGCATCGGTGTTGAATACTGATATCATGCTGTCGATGATGATGCACACTCGAAGGGAAAAGGAAAATTCCACCTGGCCCACAGTAAAGCTGTTCAAGAATATCTGGGGACAAGTGAACTATCGTTGCCATGTTGCGGAAATCATATATTTTGACTTACGCTGAGGAAACACCATCGAAAGATTTTAAAATACCCGTGTTTCTTCGAAGAGAGAATAATGTACGTTGGATGCATATTCTTAGAACGACAAACGTACTGCTCTAGCACCTTGGACACTAATACCGATGACATTTCTGTCAGCTTCAAACTAATTTTCTTAAACCACCGACGGTCTTAGGGGTCCCTTGCAGTGATTAAAAAAGTCGTTCAGCTGTAACACCCTTTCGGTGCCCAGCTGTCATGTTACTCTAAGGAAGCACGAGAGCTGGGATACCATGAAGTTGCTTAAGCATCGACAGAAGCCGGGATGCAGAGGTCGGGTTCGAACCATGGACCTTCTCGCCACTAAATTCGCGCTCTAACCAGAGCCTTCTCGCTTTGAAGTGAGTACATGGAAACAAAAGGATCCTCTATACAAAAAATGATCGTAAGTAGCCATCTTCGAGCATCACTGACAGCACTGTCTACAAAGTTTGTCTGAAGCCATTTATCTCACAAGATTACCATCAAGTACCCCTTCTCGACTTCTACTTGAAGTTTGTTCACGAACACTAGCCTCATTAGAAAACACTCGGATTCCAGTGTAATCACAATTGGGCGTCTGCGGAAACGTACTAAGACACCAGTAAATATCGTTTCGAATCCAGGCTATTCAGAGACGGAGTGATTCGTAGCTATCACTAATGCTCGTCGGTTCTCGACTCCTAGAATTCTAAGCCATGGTAATGTCTTCAAGCGATTCCTTTCATTACAAAGAACGGACTCCTCATCTTTCGGCCGGTTCGGAGTCATTGGTTCCTTTGCAAACAAGAGATATCAACTATGGTATGAATCGGCAGATCAACGATCCGAACTCGGTCAAAATGCTTCCAAACTACCCAGCTCATCTTCCCGAGGACTGGGGCACTATCCGTTCAGCTGTAGCACCCTTTCGTTACCTAGCTGGAGTGCCACCTAAAGGAGGCACGATGGCTGGGATACTGCCAGGTTGCCCATGCTTGGACCGGGGAAGTCGAGATGCAGATGTCGGATTCGAACCACGGACCTTCCGGATAGTAAATTGGCACCCTAACCACCGAGCCATCCCGCACTATCCGTAAAGATCTTCAACTAGGTCCCGCTCACTCACCCACTCTTCTCCACTTCTCTTCACTGTAGGGCTTTAATATACCAACACTGATGTTGCTGTCTTCGATGATGATGATGATGATGATGAAA